TCCAACATTTGAGTCAGGCAAAATGTTTGAACCACTAGAGAGCCAAGAAGACAGTTGCTGTAATGCAAGATGTTTAAACACAAGGGGAGAGACTTTTGGTTTCCAGTTGGAAAGGATATTCCATTGAGTTAAAGCAGGGTAGTCGTCACCTGCACATGCGTCAGAAGGCCATAGTGTCATTGTTTATAAACAAGCGTCTACCCATGAACCTTTGCCTTTTTAGCGTGTGTTGTTATCGTCGCTTGGGACTCAATTCCAGCGCGTGCGCAGGTGACGAACCTCCCGCTTTAATAAAGTAGCAAAATGTAAACAGTATTTGGTATCGTACTATACTTTAGCTCCATAAAAGTATGAACATTTCCAAAATAATGTTCGAGCATGGACATATGACAATGCATTCTGGGAGAAAACTTCTCATTAAAGCAAGAGATACAGTGAGCAGTACCACCTGCGATTACAATACTGTAACAGCGTAATCATGCGTAGCTATCAGTTCATCGTATGCACGTGCAATGATGCAATATCAGCCATATAACCAATGTGCGTATCTAGGGTCGCGCGGACGACATCCGGTTATTTGCTCGCACCATGTGGTGATATTTTACAGAATGTCGTTTTTATTGAGTTTACCGAAGTACAAACTAATTTGTACTTGGTCGATCAAAATCTAACACTTCAATATAACTAAGCCTGTTAACCTGTCCAACGACACAAGGGCGTTGTTTACGCAATGTGCGCGTTTCGACCTGGTGACGTTACCAACGAGACCGCAAATGTAGGCGGTGATTTGCATAAACAGAGAGGTAAATGTTGAGCTATTCCATTGTATGTGACATTCATCGTGCAGATGGCGTTCACGAAAATAAGAGATCGTCGTTTTTCTGTAGGTATGTTTCACATTTCACCTCGGCATGTCATTCATTCAAAAACATGGACACCCAAGTGGGATATAATCTAATACAGACGGATGTCAATATCACAATAAATTCCAGATGAATATTTCATATTCATAATCAACATGTTACGAAAATCCAAATCTAAGCACTTGTACAGAAAGGTTAACTGCCGAAAGAATTGGGGCGTTAAATTTTAACATTTATTTTGTTATTTTGTTTTTTTTCGTGATAAAGAAGAATTATGAACAACTTTGTGTATTTTAAAATATATTTGTGTTCGATACTGCATGACATCTGATTAAAATAAGATTCCAGTTTGGGGCTTTATTTTTTTTTCTCATTGTAATTTAAATAATGATTGCATTACTTTGCTTTACCTCTGGCGATTATCCTTCCGCCATTTCATTAACTTGCAATTTACTAACGTGACGTCAAAATCGTGGATTCTCATTGGTGCTGTCACGGTTCTTATCGGTAATATCACTCTTGTTTTATTGCTGACATTTGCAGCAAGCCTAACAACATCAATTCACTGAACGGTTATCAAATCGTGAATTAACCCTATAGTGTACACATAATGATTATAATAAATCTAATATAAAATGAACACATATATTATCGCTTATGTTGAAAGTCATACATGACACATGATTCAAATGATGATGGGAAATAGACCATCGAACAATTGCCAAAGTTGAAAAGGTGATTTTCAAATGGAGTGCGTGTAATTAATACGGTCTCGCAGTTTCGACCACTAACTTAAATTATAATTACAAATTAAATGTTCAAATCAATTTTTATATAAAGTCTTAATAAATATTCAGTAGAATATAATCTATTGTTATAAATGAAAATAGTTTTACTATAATACTAGCTGTATATATTCGATATAATAATAATAAAAACAGCAGACCGCGTGTGACAGGAGTTACCGATACGTCATACAGACTCCATTACTTATCGGAGAATACTGGTTTGTATATGTTTTAGGATACGACGATTCCGACTGTTTTTTATTAAGATGCGGAAGCAAAGTAATTTCCCCATGTTCAGAAATACTATTACGTTCAGCTATCCTATTGCATCTGTAAACAGAGCAACCCAACAACGTCGATAAGACGAAGACTATTACATACTGATGATAAGGAGAGACTACTGATCAGAGACGATTGCCATCGCATTCTTACGTCATAGTCATATCACTGGATCTCAAACAGCCAGCTTATGATAGTTCGCTAATATTAATTAAACATACTAACAAATCCTTGAAATTCAGAGAGGATTACTGTTAGTAATATTCAAAATTCTGCAATAAAAATATATGGTCACCGAAATAATCTTTTCTGAATACGACCTCAAAAATGGATCAAAAATGTTTTTTTAAATAGTTAAGATTCAGTTCATGTAGCTGAAACATCCCATCATATATTAAAACTGTGTTCGGTGACCTATGCTAATTTGTTTGACAAAGTTATATGTTTTTTTTTAACACGCTTTTCTTTCTCTGTATTGATTTTACTGATTAAAAACGGTTGGTTATTTGCATTGATATATTAAGCGCATGTGCATGATAGCATAGTTCTAGAAAGACGATAAATTAAAGTAATGTATTAGGTCGAACGCAGTTACATTGTTGTCAGAAATATTGAATTCGGATTATCAATTTGTCGAAGTAATTAAAATTGGATCTATTATGAATCTTACGTAATGCCTGGGACCACTGCATCGATTTTATCTTTATTTTGTGACATTCGTTAACTCCGTTTTGTTAATTGATGATTTTCAATTATCCGACAATATGATACCAATTATTGGGTGGTGCTTCATCTTCGGCAGTAATGTGTATAATCATTGAGTGGACGGATATGTCCCGTCACTGAGGAGTGTGATCAAAATCCACGTGAAAATGAACAATGTCGGCCATTCAGAGTGTATATTAAACACGATGCCATTTTCTATAGAGTAAAATTATATGTGTGCACTATTGCGTGAATTTCAGTATGTATACTTCACTGCTCTTTATTTGGCATATATGTTTCTTCTCCCCTTGATTCTTTAACGAAAGCTTTGAATTGAGCCATTTGAACCATGTGTGAAGAAAAGCTACCCCATGGGTCGTAGCAGTGCCATTTATTCATAATTGCTTGTTTGACATTATGGTTTTGTCCGGATTGTCGGTTTTCATAGCGGGCGGGTGGGATAGCGTTGAATGAATGACAACACTGTCGAGACATGGGAAGTGCCAATATATATCAGTGCCGAATTGCTGAATTCAGTATTCATGTAACACGCAGAGCTTGCGGTTAATCGGACCGACCTTACTCTGGGTAAGGTCACGGGTCTTCTGACCTGATTTCAAGTTTTCGCGCCCCAGGAGCCGATTATGACGTAATCTCCCTAAACATAGTAAACAAATTTATAATGTTACGATGATTAATCATTTTTGTAATTATTTTTCCAATTACAGCCCAGTTGGAATCTAGAAAATGTCAATGATAGTTTAACTGAATACCCTCTGAGTTGGAACGGCATAGACAGACTAGTTATATACTATTTTTTGCGAAAGCGTTTCTTTGGTAGTTATAATAATATTATTATAAGTGACGTAGAATAAATCGGGCAATATGAGTACGATCACACCAAAAGTATAAAGATTTCGATAAAACATTTTCGTATGTATTAACAAAATTCATGAATTAGATAATATAAATACACTTAAGCTAATCCAGTGACTACAACCTGAATTATTGTTATCCATCTACCATCATTAATTGTCTGAGCAATAATCTAATACACCCTGCGTACGTATTTGTTAAGATCTTCTAAGAACTATCTAATTGATAACAACACTAGTTTACATTCTATAAACTATACTGAAACTAAAGAAACCTTCTCATCGCGAATTGCACCATACTAGTATTACACTATTAGAATAAATTAGTTTTGTGTGCCTCATCACGCGCGCCTCCAACGAAAACTGTAAAATAGTGAAATGTGTGTTATAGTTATAAATACGTTGCACATACATACTTTAAAGCGGGAGGGTCGTCACCTGCGCACGCGTGTAAACAATGACATGCTATGGCCATTTGACGCATGCGCAGGTGCCGACTCCCCCGCTTTAACCTTTGGATATAAATTGTATCAATGGATGACACACTACAAACCATGGGGGGGGGGGGGATTGGCACGAGAGGGCGCCATCCGATCTGAATGGTACGTTTCGATGTCAGTCGTCCGTAGCCCATAGTCAAAGCAACAACGTCCCGTTTACAAACAGATGAAATAATTTCAGCAATTTCTTAACAGAAAAATCCTCAACAAAACTTAGAAACATTTCATAGACAAATACAGGCTCCAAAATTATGTCTATTGCAAAACAATTCAACCGACAACCAGTTTGACGCCACAATTTCTTGCTGGAGCCCGAGTTCTACGCGTGATTTTATTGCGTTCAAAACTGTTCTCATTTATGCAAATGAGACGATTATTTCAACCAATCGTGTCATGCAACTCCCCCCCCCTGCTACAAACGTTTTATCCAGTAATTGACTGCATTGGAACAAAATACAGCGTGCGATAACGCAAATACGCATTTAAATGCAAATAATCGCAAAAATGCATATACTTTAAATGGTCAGAAATAAAACAGAACAACGTCCCATCTTAACAAATAAGTCACAAAAGGCATACAGAAAAAATGAAATGAACAAATATGTGAGAGGATGTGGAATATGCCATTGTAAATATATTGATATAATTCTGAAATCGGAAATATCAGTTGGACCACTATCACTATTTCGAATGTACAGTGAAATGCACACATGTCAGAGAGTGGGCATCCGGCATAGAATGTATGGAGGCAGTTTATGCCTACTTCAGAAACGTTTGTTTTCAGAAGATCCTTAGCAGATACTGTGTCGCCACGCAATTACAGATACACAATATAATTTCCATTGCTGGAATAGACTTTCTTGAATTTTATCTAGCTTCCCAATCCAGCTGAAATGCTGACTCATCCCTCTGAATTAATCCTGTGCCAATCAAATAACTTAAAATATATTTTACATATATTTACATATAATTAATATATAATTAACTCACCAAATCTATGATCTGCTGCAGAGTCATGCCGAGTTGCACGGTGAGAGGATCGGAATCGTTCAACACAGGCCTCTCATACTTGTTGTAGTCTTTCAATACTTTGTCCAAGAGACGTCGCTCGTGCTTGCCCTGTAACGACCCTGTTGAGACGTCAACATAGTTATCGTGTTAAAG